TAAATATTTTGATATTCTTTATACAATAGTTAATAACTAAAATAAACATTGGATAAATAACTATTTTATAAATCTCGTTGTTGTAGCAACAAAATACATTCACCTTTATGTATATATATATATATATATATATATATATATATATATATATATATATATATATATATATATATATATATATATATATATATATATATATAACACTACATACACACACATGTGTCTGTGTATGTGTATATATATACATATACATATACATATATATATATATATATATATATATATATATATATATATATATACATATACATATACATATACATATTTACATGTATATAAATATAAATACATACATATATATATACACCTCAGATCTGTCTTCCAGTTTGCATTACCGATAAATCTTAAGATATATTTGAGAATCTAGTTTGAGATGCGAGAGACACCCGCGCGGCGGAGAGGCGTCGCCTCTGCCTGGGCTGATGTTTGGATGAGAATCGAATGTCTCTCAAGCGAGCTGCGCGCTCGCGCGCGAGTACTTGACTCGAAAATTATTACAAGTTCACATACAAGAACACTATTAAAAAACAGCTTCGCAAAGAATATAAAATGTAACAAAACAGTAGTAAAGAAAACAAATATTAATGGCAATAATTTGAGCAAGGTTGACTGACACCATAGGAACAAACTGCTCAAAAAAGAATAATAATAAAATTACGAATAAATACTATAAGTTACATAATAAATTATATCACAGGTTATTCTAATTCACATGAATATGTAATGGTTTTCATAAAATAAGTACACTAATGACTGCATTTCCCTTATAAGAGTAATATCAGCTATGGTAATTTATGTCTACACAACATTAAGTAACAAAATTCCTGATGTTCATGTGAATTTAGTCAATATTTCAGCTGTGCCTGACTGCCATTCCTTCAGGTCTAATCTCTTTACAGCAGATCAGACCGTCTGACATAAAAATTTGTCTTTGTTTAACAATACTGTAAGTTGGCGACACAGAAGAAGCCTGTAGAAACCAAATCCTTAAACTAAAATTTTGTGACGGCAAAGTATCTCGCAGATTTCTATTCCTCCGATTTCCCTTCAAAGGGAAACCGAAAAATTATGAAATCCGTTGATTATTTTCTTCTTTTTTCTCTTCTGGTTGCCATCGGAGCGAAATCCGCTGGCTGGCTGAGGTTACTTATGAGAGAGAAGTGAAAACAGAGCGAGAAAAAATACGTTTAAAAATGAAAGAGGAGAGGTACGCGAGAAGTAGAAGGGGAGGCTTCAGGGTGTTTCCTTATCGAATTCCGAGAAGACCTCCTTCAGGTGCATGAGAGCCGCGTCGTACTCCCTGACGATGACGGCGTCCCGCATATTCCTGCTCGACTCCCCCTCGAGGTCCCGGTACTCTTCGCCCATGATCTCCTTCGTGACGGAGACGCTGGGCGACAGGTTGCGGTGCGCCATGGCATAGTGCAGCTGGCACAGGATGGACACGATGTGGTTCTCTATGATGCGGAACTGCTGCAGGAACGAGCCCTGGTACAGAGCCTGGTCGAGCGTGACCTGTTCGATGCCCACGGCGAGGCGCTGCATCATCTCGTAGGCCTCCTGCAGCTGCTCGTCGAAGTCCAGGGCGGATTTGTTGATCGCCGGGATCGACTTGATGAACTGCACGGTGATGCCGCTGGTGTGGACGTCCCTGAGGTCCTCCCAGTTTATGTGCAACACGTCACTACTCTGCGGCGGAAAAAGCAGGAAACATTAGAGTCAGTTTCATCGACGGCGCCTCGCTCATCGAGGCCGTTCATATAGCTTCAGCGGAGGTTTCTTTTTCAGTGGAATCCTATTCAGATGGATTTCTCAAAGGCAGCCATTTGCAAAATACAGGGAGAGCATTATATTACTCTTTGGACGATCAGAATAGCTTTACATAATGGTAATTGGATGATCTTAACACAATACTCCGAGAGGACAAGAAATCCCATTACTTATTTCACGCATATCCATTTCGTAATCGAGTCCCACATATACATTTCGCAATCACAATCTATTTCCGACGACCGGGAGATCACAATTCCGCGGAAGAACTAGTAATACATAATTAAATAAATTAAGAGATATATAAATAAATGAACAAATCAACTTCAACCCACGTACCACAAAGCTAAAGAATTATCCGAAACTTAATAGAAATGTGAAAAAGACGATTGAATTTTTAAGAAGGCGAGGTATTGAGTGAAGCAACAAGTCAGCTCCGACAAGCAATCTTGGCGGGCATATGAGCTCTCCGTCCCACCTACGACGGGAAATGCGATCCTGGGCTCATACAGACGACACGCCGCGGGAACCAGAGAATGGGAGACGCTTTCTGCCTCTCGCGTCCCTTCCTCTCTTCCTTCCTTCCCTAACTCTTTTTTTCCCTCCTACCCTTGCCTCCTTCTTCCCTCTTTTTTTACCCTTTACAATTCTCTCCTTTTCTCTTTCCGCGACCGCTTCTCCTCCTCCCCCTCCTCCACCTCTAATTTTACCGCTTCCCTTTTCTTTCCCGTCCCCGTTCTTCGTACTCTACCCTGAGAGATCATCGAGAAAACCTCCACTGGATTAAAGGAGAGAGCGCGTCTGGGACGCGGGAGGCAGCCTGCGGCGCGGCGGCGGCTGCGGCAGATGGGTCACATGCCAGGCGAGCCGCCGCCGCCGCCGGGCACGGGGGCAGGGCAACAGGTCGCATCATCACGTGGCCGACTCGCCGCTGTTTTGGTCAAGCGAGAAGCTCCGTCGCCGCACGGATCCTTCGCCCGCTCCTGCGGTTCCTTGCCAACGCACGCACGCACCCACGCACATGTACATGTAAGCAAGCAAGGACGGACGCACACGCATACAGAGACATGCACGCGCACACAGGTGGCAGGGCAAGACCATATGACAACTCCATCTGTCACAACTTGCCATGTAAACTACCCTTTCTGTCAAAACGAGTTCTCCCCCCTCCCCGCCCCCGAACCCCCCCCTCCCTCTCTGTCGTGCAGGCGTGAGTCCCCATGGCAATTTCTTGCCATATGGCGAGCAAGGCCTCACGCACGTCCAAGGGCATATGGCCCATGCCCTAAAGGTCAGGGCAAGACGAGGTTGTCATAATGCACAAATCTGACGTAAAGTTTTTTTTGACGGTTACTGGTGACAGAATTACAAGGATATTGTTTTTCTCCTGTTCAATGCATTTTTAGTAACAGGGTGCGTAGTTATGAAATTCAACATAAAAACGTGTGCAAACAGTAAAAACGGATCTAGCAAAATGTCCCGTTCTTCACCTTGAACGCATTAAAAATGGCCGGGTTCACTCACAAGACCTACGTTCATTATCAGTTAAGATAATTTCGGCATGAACTGAGGGCGCGTGGTACTTGATAAGAGGGCAGAGGTGAGCGAGTCTTCCCCCCCGTCCTCAATTTCGGCATGAACTGAGGGCGCGTGGTACTTGATAAGAGGGCAGAGGTGAGCGAGTCTTCCCCCCCGTCCCTTCCCCCCCCCTCCCTCTTTCCCCCGGTGCATCCCTCCCACTATCTACCCCCACCCCGCCAGTCCCCCACCAGTGCAACCTCCTTCTGGACTCAAACGTGGCGAAAACATCCCCTAGGTTTTTCAGCGACAGAAAAAAAAACCCGAAAGCACGGAAGAAAAAATTCCTTCTTAACGCAAGGAGATTCCCCACTCTATTACCAGCACGAGCGTTGGGTATTCCATAGCAACAGATCTATGTTACTTAGATTACGAAAGGTCCGATCCAAAAATAAAAAACAGGTTTTTGGGAGATCTAGGAAGAAGACTCGGTAATGGGCATGAAGACAGGGTGCGTGCTGGGGAGGCGTGCCCACTCCTCAAGATTGTGCCTTCGCGACTTCAAGACAGCACTCGGGATGAAGAGTTTAGGATCTCGAATGGCAGTGATGAACAGGCAATGAAATATTTGCCAGGCGATCCGCGGTCTGGTAGCGAGTGTGCATTGTCCGAGGATAATGTATTCTCGCCGTTTAATAATATGTTAACCAAAACAAATACCGCATTTGCATATGACTCGGCTCTCTCATCCATCAGTGCCATTAGAGAAGCTCGGAGACGGAGGTATGGGTGGCGAACTTTGCACTGCAGGCGGTAATGGTTAAGATAAACTCAACCGCGTGTTATTTGCAAAAGTGATTCGCACGCGTGTGTTAGCGGCGGCGAAAACACAGGCTGGGCCATGAGCGTGTGTGTGTGTGTGTGCCAGGTCTGCCGGTCGACGTTGGTCCGGTGATGCAACAATGATCGCTTCGGAAATTCCCCGGCTCTGTAAGCAACTTCCGGTCGTGAGCGTCTGTCTGTCACCAACCCAACATGACACTCGCAAGATCGCGTCCTCCTTTCCCGTTAACGGTGTACAGAAGGTCTTTCTGTGGGAAGGAAGGAAGGAGGGAAGCAGGGAAGGAGGGAGAGAGGGAAGGGGTGGGGATGGTGGGTGGGTGGGGGGTTAAGGACCTCGCAGCAGGACTTCCAGAGGAGCTCGCCTGCTTGCTGTGTCACGCCGACGCGGTGCCTGGCGATGGGGCGTCCGTGAGTGGGTAAGATGACGTATAAAGATCACCTTCGTCGGGATTTCCAAAAAAAAAAAAACCGAAAGCACGGAAAGAAAAAATTCCTTCTTAACGCAAGGAGATTCCCCACTCTATTACCAGCACGAGCGTTGGGTATTCCATAGCAACAGATCTATGTTACTTAGATTACGAAAGGTCCGATCCAAAAATAAAAAACAGGTTTTTGGGAGATCTAGGAAGAAGACTCGGTAATGGGCATGAAGACAGGGTGCGTGCTGGGGAGGCGTGCCCACTCCTCAAGATTGTGCCTTCGCGACTTCAAGACAGCACTCGGGATGAAGAGTTTAGGATCTCGAATGGCAGTGATGAACAGGCAATGAAATATTTGCCAGGCGATCCGCGGTCTGGTAGCGAGTGTGCATTGTCCGAGGATAATGTATTCTCGCCGTTTAATAATATGTTAACCAAAACAAATACCGCATTTGCATATGACTCGGCTCTCTCATCCATCAGTGCCATTAGAGAAGCTCGGAGACGGAGGTATGGGTGGCGAACTTTGCACTGCAGGCGGTAATGGTTAAGATAAACTCAACCGCGTGTTATTTGCAAAAGTGATTCGCACGCGTGTGTTAGCGGCGGCGAAAACACAGGCTGGGCCATGAGCGTGTGTGTGTGTGTGTGAGTGAGATAGTGAGTGAGCGAATGTGTGTGTGTGAGAGTGTGCGAGTGAGTTAATGAGTAAACGAACGAGTGTGTGCGTGTGCGTGTGTGTACAGGGAGGCGTGTGGAGCCAGGTCTGCCGGTCGACGTTGGTCCGGTGATGCAACAATGATCGCTTCGGAAATTCCCCGGCTCTGTAAGCAACTTCCGGTCGTGAGCGTCTGTCTGTCACCAACCCAACATGACACTCGCAAGATCGCGTCCTCCTTTCCCGTTAACGGTGTACAGAAGGTCTTTCTGTGGGAAGGAAGGAAGGAGGGAAGCAGGGAAGGAGGTTGAGAGGGAAGGGGTGGGGATGGTGGGTGGGTGGGGGGTTAAGGACCTCGCAGCAGGACTTCCAGAGGAGCTCGCCTGCTTGCTGTGTCACGCCGACGCGGTGCCTGGCGATGGGGCGTCCGTGAGTGGGTAAGATGACGTATAAAGATCACCTTCGTCGGGATTTTCCAAAGTGGGCGTCTATTGGTCCGTGACATGATGGCGCTACAGCAAAGACCCACCCACTTTCCCTCCCGTTCCCTCCTATTTTCCCTCCCTTCTCTCTTTCCTTTCTCTCCATACCTTTGTTTCTCCTTTCCCTGTCCTCACTCGCCCTCGTCCTCGCCCTCGCCCTGCCCTTCCCCAGACGGACCTCGCGCTACTCTCACGCTCCTCAAGCTGACCTAAACCCTCAAGTATGACACCTTCTGAACCTTCCACCTTGGTCGATCACCCTCACTAAAATTACACACGAAGAGGGGAAATCAAGAAATCAAGCGCGTCCTTGCTTTCGCCGAGTCAACATTGCAGTGCTTTGAGGGAACTGTACATATCGCGCCTGTTATAGGGATACAGTAAAAATATTGGGAATTCCCATGTGCGAGTGTGGCTACACCGTTGTCAGCTCGGCCAACAGGCGAGCGCGGCCACGAGTGCGCGGGACCCTCGAGGGCCTCGCGCCCCGCCGCCTCCTCCTCCTCCTCCTCCTCCTTCGCGAATCCTGATACCTGCGCTCTCGAGTCTCACCTCTTGTCGTTTTTGATTCATCATCGTATAAAAAAGTAAATTCTACGTTCTTCTCTGCTGTTTCTGAGAATCTCGAAAGCTTTTCTCGCCTCGCGGTCACGTGACTCATTTCTGCAGCCAGAGGAAACCCCGACCTTATGGCGTGACACCTGACGGCCGACTTTCGCCTGGCGAGAGGTATATCCGCCTCGGCGGCCGCATGACGTCATAACTCACGGATTCTCTCGCCCTCCGGAAACAGTAGGATATATTGTATATAAACATGCCGAAACGAATTCTATACAATAGCTATGTAATTATAGACATTCGCACATCATATAACCAACAGTCGCGTACGCTTACAGCAGGTCCACAGGCTGGCGGAGGGCGAGCAGGCGCACAGGGAGCATTCCTCCCAAGAAAACGGCTCGAGAAGAAGGAACTTTTCGAAAGCGAAAGAAGCAAAGAGAGAGATAGAGAGAGAAAAAAAAAGAGAGAGAGCGAGACAGAAAGAAATAAGGAGGCGTGGTAGAACCTGGGACCAGTAACGCTGCTGGGGACCCACAGGAGGAGAGCCAGGAGGGAGGGGGGAGGGAAGCGGCCGGACCACAATCTCCGGAAACTCTCCAGCTTATGGCATGCGGAGGGGGTGGGAAAGGGCGGAGGGGGGGAGGAGGAAGAACATAGCAGTGACGAATTTTGTGCTCTATGGGGCTAATCCGGATTCTATTAGTTATGTACACCTTATGTACCCTTATGTCAGCTGTTTGTTCTTTGTTAGTGTAATTGAATTCTTAGCATTAGCGAATATTTTCTCATTAGGGATCGCGGGACACAATCTCGGATCGGAAGAAGACGGAAAGGAGAATTTCCCTCAGGAAGGAAACACACTTTTCACAGCTTCATTCAAAGCCTGTACAGCCGGCAATTTGCTTCGGTTAAAATCCTATTATAACGCTGGAAACACTGATTACGTCGGCTCTACCGTTGAATAACACGGTCATTATCTATCATCCTGTTCTCTCATCGCTGTCTAATCATTTATCCGGCTGGAAATGTCATCTGATAACCGTATAAACATCGACAGAACGATGACATCACAGCATTGTTTACATTCCTTACCTATGTCTACACCTGGTCTTAGCCCCTCCCACTTCGGCAATTCGGGGACTGGATTGGCTCACCGTTTCTATGACGTAAGGATGACGCAATTTTTATATGACGTAACTGATTAGTTGAATTCAATTTTAGAAAGTGACATAAGGTACGCAAGATTCTCGAAAATTCTGCGTTATCACGAATGAACTTTAGGGTTACATATTTTTTTTTTTTAGGATGAAGGAGAGGCTAATAAATGTGAGACACCGATAAGAATAGATGTAGAATTTTGTTCGGAAGTTTTCATCTCAACTGCTTATCATTATTTCCTAAATTTCTTGAGATATATCTTAGGTTGCACGGCCATTTGTATCTTAAGTGTCCTGTGATTCACCTGGAGTAAACTATAGGATTTTTACGTGACCAAAAGTATCCAATTCATGACTAAGCGTTGAGGGTGTGAGTGAGGGGAAAGAGAGGGAGAGAGAAGGAGGGAGACTGGAGAAAGAGTGGGAAGAAAAGAGGAAGAAAGAGAGAGAGAAGACAGAAAGAATATATAAATAGATAGACAGATAGATAGACTGACTGACAGACAGGCAGACAGATAGAGAAAGAGAGAAGAAAGAGAGATTGCTCCTATATGATACTACCATTTCTTCCTAAGGCCATAAACATACACCAAATATCACGAACTTATCCATACATAACGCCCCCCCCCCTGCCCAAAAAAGGAGAGAATATCAAAAAAAGAGGTTCTCAAATATATGAATAAAAGAGAACTGGGCACCACAACGAACCAAGTGAAATGGGACTATGAATATTCGATAGTTCTAAGAAAGGCCGTCTTTTACGCCTAATTCTTTTCCATCGTGTGGAGGTTTTATCTTTAGGGAAACAGCTGTAGCTTTGGGCTAAGGTTTGGTAAGCTTTTTGAAAATAAGGGTTGGGGAATTTCGGCTTTGTTTTGTCTTTATTTCTGGACCTACCTTGTGACTGAAAAAAACATTTACACTTCAACTAGCATTCTTTACATAGAAGTGTAAGGAAATCTATAGACAGATATAGAACAGGTATAAAAAAAAAAAGAAGGGAGTGACTCGTCTGGAATAAGGAGGAATAGTAGTGGATGGATAGGACTAAGTTATGCATGTATGGAAAAGGGGAGAACTATATACTTCCTCTGACTTCCCGCATTACATTCAAATCTCGGGCCGTATCATTTCACACCTACCGAGGCATCCTAAATTTGTACATAACGTGTGCTAAAGAATAATCCCTTATCGCGACGGCATGCAGAGAACGCATGTTTATCTTATCATTAGTACAACACAGAAATACTTTAGACGGACTCTCGGCGTCGTCACCGTTACACGCTGAACGGAAAGGCGACGTGTTCTGGCGTGTGCGTATGTGCGCGCGTGCGTGAGTGCCCTTTTGCCTATGGGTTCTGCGTGTCTCAGCGTGTATTGATAAATCTATTTCTCCAGCTGCCCCGATAACCCGTTGAAAAGCTGTGGCAGGGGCCGAGCGAGCCGCTATCTCTGCGTCTCAGACAGGACAACAAGACACGGGGCCGCCGATATCAAGTGTTATCACATTTCCGACCGCGGGATGAGTCACGCTGACGAGATATCTGCGCTATACTTCCGGATGAAGGCGGCGGCGAGGGCCAAGATGTGCTTCCGACGGTCAACATCTCATTAGCAACTCATTAAGGATTGTGATTACTCTCCCCGTATCGCAAATGACTGATTTGAAACTACTGCCATCTCAAAGCAATTCCAAAAATTTAATAAGACTGATGACTGATTGATAGGACTGATAGTGAGATCTGTGCGTCTACTTACAAAGTTGTTCTTGAACTGGCCCATGTAGCTGATCGCCTTGGCCACCGCAAGGAGTATCTCGTAGCTGAGCGTTTGCTGAGTGTTGCTGGAGACATGCATCAGGTTGGTGCATGGCTTCGACCAGTGGGCGGTGGAGCGGCGGGACCTGCTGCTTCCCGCGTCGTCAGGCTGGTCCTCCATCGTAGTTTGTCTGCTGCTCCTACTTCTGCTGTTCCCTAAGAACTGGAGGAACTGCTCGTCCGCGGATCTTAGGGTGTGCTGGGAAGACTGTTCTACGGCTTTCTGCACTTCAAGCAAGAGCTCCACCCCCAGGGCAGTGTCTGCGGATTCTGCTGCTGCTTCTGCTGCCGCCGCTGCCGCTGCTGCTGCTGCTGCTGCTGCTGACGCTCTGTGGTGTGAGGTCCTTCTGCTTCTGACGGGGTTGGCTGATACTGGACTCACCACAAGCAGCAATAGGAGCCACACTCGAGCCCAACCTGCAAGACAAGGTTGCTTTAGTCCTTTGCTTTCGGGGCGACGTTTGTCTCGCTGGAAACGGTATCAGTACACTACTGTAATAACAGATGCAGGTGGAGCGCCCTCAAGGGGGGGGGGGGGTCAGAAATCCGCCTTCATTATTACTGGTCGCCAGATTATATAGGATATAGGAAATGCTACAGGTAACAAAATAATGTCTGGCTTAAGCGTCCCTTTCCACTTGTTTAGAGAAAGAAATAAAAATACTCAACAGTATTAAGATTTACGCATTTTTAATGTGTTATCATAATAACATATATGTCAGCTACGTATAAAATCAATCTAACTACAAGATGAAACACTGAAATGCGCAGGTGGGGCAAGACACCTTCAGATTCTCAATCAAACTGGAATTATTCAAAGGCCGGGACATCCGATCAATAAACCGCGTAAAATAATAGTAAAAAACAAATCGATCTTACACAAGACAACGAAGAGGAAAATCATGGGAACGAAGTCCACAAACGCGATAACGAACAAGAAATAGATAAATACATGTATCCAGGGTCGAATCCACACATGTCACCAGGCACCAGGAGTGTGTGTGTACGCGCGGGGAGTGTGTGTGTGTGCGTGCATGTGTATGTGTGGCGTGTGCGGGACGGGACAGCGTGTGGGTGAATCATTCTTTCTTGGAAGCTGTGACACCTTCCCACTAACACTTCTGCTGTGACACACACACACGTACACACACACACACACACACGCACACACATACACACGCGCGTACGCACATACTTAGGCACGCACACAGCCAGATAGACATAGGCGCTCGTACACATTCACACGAGTACTCGCACATCGATCTGGGCACCCCTCGATCACGCTCGCTCGTACACGGGCGCGCACATACACACGCAACACAAATACAAACAACACGAACAAATACACGCACGGAGACTAATGTGAACAAAAAGTGGTGGCAGTTGTTAATCCACTTTTCTTAGACCTCGAAAAACAGTGTGTTGCTTGTTGGTAAACGTTGGAAGCAGCATAAGAAAGCAACGATAGCAACGTTTATAAATCATCTTGAGGAGCAAATCACTAAATCAATATCAAAATGAAGGAGAGAGACAGAGACTAGGAAGAAAAGGAAGGAAAAGTGGAAGGACGAGTTAGAAGAAAAGTAGGAAGAGGAGAAAGAGAAGGAGGAGGAGGAGGAGGAAAAGAAGAAGAGAAAGGAAAAGAGGAGATACAAAAAGAAGAATAAGAATAAGAAGTAGAAGAAGTAATGGAAAAGAAGAAGAAGAAGAAGAAGAAGAAGAAGAAGAAGAAGAAAGAAATATGAAAGCAAAATCAAATCAAAGTGAATAAACAGACAGACGGCAGCAGAGTGCAAGATCCCACGGGAAGGTAGCGTGGCAGACGGTACCCAGAATGAGTCAGAGCGGAGTTATAAGTTATCTTGGCTCGAAACATCAGTTTAAGCTGTCCCGAACTTAGAGTATTGGGGTCTGACCGTCCGAGCTGTTACAGGAAGCCTTCATGACTAATTTCTTTTTATTATGGGCATTTAAGTTGCACTTTTGAGGTTTTCAGCTATACTATGCTTAGGAAGATGAGCGCACGTGCTGTTTGAAGAATAATTATCTATGTTACATGAAACTTCTTTGTCTTACATGCATACACGCGCAAGCAGACGTGCGCGCAAACACACATACAAAAACACAAACATGCATGCAAACACACACACAAACACACAAACATGCACGCAAACACACATACAAAAAAAAACACAAACATGCACGCAAACACACATACAAAAACACACAAACATGCATGCAAACACACACGTACGCACGCAAGAACACAACTACACGCAATGACACACGCATACATCCTCCCAACGCGGCGTGAGACGAGAGCAAACAGACTCCTCCGGCCGCTAAACTCCTCCCACTCTGTTCCGACTTGGTGACCGGTAATGCCAGAAATGCCCAGATGCCCTCCTTTGCCCTTCTACCCTTCTCAAACAGCGCCTTACCCTTGAGTGCCCTTCCGACACGCTCTCGCTCATTTGCTGTCTGGAAGAATGTGCCCGCGCGTGTGTACGTGCGTATGTGTGTGTGTGTGTGTCTGTCTGTGTGGGTATTTTGCATATTAGCTCTTACGCTTAATGTCTGTATTAGTGCGAGTTGATATACGTGTATACATATTACAATATATATTCCGAACATAATGTATCTATTATATTCAGTATATATATATAAATATATCCATGATGTTACAGATGATAAGAGAAAGAGAGATAAAAGAAAACGCACAAACGCACGCACACATCCACACGCTCATAGTATTTTTTCGGTCATAGTGCGAGCCGAGAGGAGAGCAGAAGAGGAGGGGGGGGAGGGGAAGGGAGAGGAGGAGGATAGCGAGAGTCGGGAGGAGGGGGAGGGCAGAGGGACAGGAGAAGAGGTGGGTGGGCGGGGTGAGGCTGGGAGATGAGTGAGGAGCGGGGTGGGGTGGGGTGGGGGGGAGGAGGAGAGGGGGTAGGGGTGGATGCTCACCGGGTTCCCCTCAACATAACACCACTGTTCCTTCTGAAACCCGATTGCGTCATCTGGTCTACATTATCTCCTTAAGTAATTTATGCATTGGCGGTGCATTTCCGACCCGAAATCACGTGGGTTTTCGCAGCGGAGACCGGACCCTATCACAATGGGGCGATGGACGCTCGAAATTGAAGGGTGAACTGTTTGAATTATTGGCCGCGAGAGGAAATTGAGTGGTTTTAACGAGCGCATTCCCAGATAATAAAACTCTGATCCCTGATGGAATTATATCTGGTGTGTTGATCACTTATACTTGCGCGCATTTTTCGGTTTTGCGTTTGACGGGTGGACGCTGGTGTGTGTGTGTGTGTGTGTGTGTGTGTGTGTGTGTGTGTGTGTGTGTGTGTGTGTGTGTGTGTGTGTGTGTGTGTGTGTGTGTGTGTGTGTGTGTGTGTGTGTCTTTCTCAGCTAATGCACACAAACATAATTCTTTGTCCTCTTCCAAACCCGTAATAACAATTTGCAACAATCACTCCGATACCAATGCACACAATTAGGCATGAAGAGCGCCACCGCACTCACCCTCGACCGCAATGCCCACACTGAGAGATGATATAACCGCGCAAGGCATGAGATAATGAGAACGTAATTGCGTCAGACAGCGGTCAGAAGTACCACCTTGTGTATGTGTTGTCTCGTCCTCCGTTCCTCTCCGACACCATGCATACACCAGAACACCAGTCAGGCAGGTCACCTTGACTAAAAATGTTAAATATATGGGCCGCAAAAGCTACAATGGAGGGTCAGGCATAAAAAAGGGAAAGATTAAAAAAAATAGTAAAAAAGGGTTACTCTGTGAGTATAATAACTACGTTAGAGTCTGTCAATCAAGAATTTTGATACAGGTTATTATTACAGACTACTGGAGACCATGCGTTAAGTTCGGTCGTTATTTTCGCGTATAAAACGCCTATGTGATTCAACTATGTACACACAAAACATACACGCACATACAACCCATTTTTCTCTCCAGTCCAGCATGCCCGCTCGGAGACGCTAGACAGACGTTCAAAAGCGTCTCTCCACTTAAGACAAATTACGTGTCCTGCACAGTTTTCTCCCATCAGTGTTTAAGTCTGGTATCTACATGGGGACGTCTCTGACGGGTCAAAGGATTCATTCTCTCTCTCTCTCTCTCTCTCTCTCTCTCTCTCTCTCATTCTAACTAACGAGCACAATGCAAGTGTGTCTCACCCATCTTTGTCATCTCATTTCATCTTCGGCACATGTCATTAATCTCTGGGCTCTGGCCTGCATATCGACCTACTCGCAAGACGAGAGAGAGAGAGAGAGAGAGAGAGAGAGAGAGAGAGAGAGAGAGAGAGAGAGAGAGAGAGAGAGAGAGAGAGAGAGAGAGAGAGAGAGAGAGAGAGAGAGAGAGAGAGAGTAAAACGTTTGATTGATAAGACGTCCCGAAATATACAATCTGATGTGGCTTAATTCCACACACCTTATCTCTAAGGCAGAACTTCGGGGAAAATAAAGAAGGAAAAGCTTTTCTTTCTCTTTCTTTTTATGTCACACGTATAAAACTGAGTTTGCAAGTACTTAATTTCGAAGGAATATTAGCTGTAAGAGGTTAATGTAGTGGAACATTGTCGTGTGCGATGGAAGAATTCGCGATCCACGTGAAGTCTGTTCCGTTCCTTGCCTAAACTCCCTCGCTTATGCGTTCCTGTTTTATCTAATGACTTAGTTACTTTAGATATACGCCCATATCTCACTTAAATATCGAGCTCTTCATGACTAACACAATTACGTTAACCCCGCATGAGTGTTTTCCTGTGCCATGTGTATCTCCAAGAATGTACAGGAAGGAAGTGCTATCCCTGTGTGTTTTTTTTTCCCTGCTTGCAGCTGAGACGTCACTTGTATAAATGACAATAACAACATATTCATCCTTCATTCATCTACAAACATGAATAAAACAAGTAAACAAGATTATGCCACAGACAGTTAACTACAGCAAGAGAGCGACTGAGATGAGACGTCTGTTATCTACGTATGACATGTGCCGGCCGCCCTGACTCCGCCTTGCTCATACCTGTCTGTCCCTCACAGAGAAACGTTTATAGGCAACATCGCTCACTCGACTTTCGTCACACACTTCGATTTATGGATTTCTGTTGGCTTTTTGATACGATGGTCTTCCTTTTGCGATCATTATTTGCTGATACATGCGTAATGTTTGTATTTATGAATTTACATACATGTATACGTAGACAAGTATATGGATACGTAAATACATACATACATACATGCAAGTATATAGATGTATACATATTATACACCTTATTGAATGCATTTCAACATCAAAACACTAAAAAGCAAGACATTCTGAGGCTTTCCCGAGCAAGAAGCATGTTTTCCTAAAATGAACAACGAGTGACTTCAAGACATCGCACCGCTTCCTATATCTGCGAAATGAACAGCAAATTGTGATCTGATATTAAGAATAGTATGTAATTGTACTTACCAATAGATTTCCGTAGCAAAGATTTGTTTCTGTAATTTGAGGTAGACACATTTCTCGAACACACATGTGCAACCAGAGATGTGTTGGCGCGAACACACATATTGTCATAGGCACTCATTTCTACGATTTCACTTATAATATACTTTTTCATTAAATACACAACACAGTGAGCCACTCAGAATTTGGCTTCACAATATTCCTCCCTCAGTGCTGTCTAGACTCACTATCGA